TGTGTGTGTGTGTGTGTGTGTGTGTGTGTGTGTGTGTGTGTGTGTGTGTGTGTAGGTAGGAGTCAGACCATGTTTGTTTTTAGCTGTGTGTGTGTGTGTGTGTGTGTGTGTGTGTGTGTGTGTGTGTGTGTGTGTGTGTGTACAGAGAGACAGCCAGGTTCATAATGGATATAAGGAAGTTTTTTTTTTTTAAAAAGGAGCCACATTCAGGTAAAAGTGTAAGATCAAATGATCCATCAATACAGGGAGTGCAGAATTATTAGGCAAGTTGTATTTTTGAGGAATAATTTTATTATTGAACAACAACCATGTTCTCAATGAACCCAAAAAACTCATTAATATCAAAGCTGAATGTTTTGGAAGTAGTTTTTAGTTCGTTTTCAGTTTTAGCTATTTTAGGGGGATATCTGTGTGTGCGGTGACTATTACTGTGCATAATTATTAGGCAACTTAACAAAAACAAATATATACCCATTTCAATTATTTATTTTTACCAGTGAAACCAATATAACATCTCCACATTCACAAATATACATTTCTGACATTCAAAAACAAAACAAATCAGCGACCAATATAGCCATCTTTCTTTGCAAGGACACTCAAAAGCCTGCCATCCATGGATTCTGTCAGTGTTTTGATCTGTTCACCATCAACATTGTGTGCAGCAGCAACCACAGTCTTCCAGACACTGTTCAGAGAGGTGTACTGTTTTCCCTCCTTGTAAATCTCACATTTGATGATGGACCACAGGTTCTCAATGGGTTCAGATCAGGTGAACAAGGTGGCCATGTCATTAGTTTTTCTTCTTTTATACCTTTCTTGCCAGCCACGCTGTGGAGTACTTGGACGCGTGTGATGGAGCATTGTCCTGCATGAAAATCATGTTTTTCTTGAAGGATGCAGACTTCTTCCTGTACCACTGCTTGAAGAAGGTGTCTTCCAGAAACTGGCAGTAGGACTGGGAGTTGAGCTTGACTCCATCCTCAACCCGAAAAGGCCCCACAAGCTCATCTTTGATGATACCAGCCCAAACCAGTACTCCACCTCCACCTTGCTGGCGTCTGAGTCGGACTGGAGCTCTCTGCCCTTTACCAATCCAGCCACGGGCCCATCCATCTGGCCCATCAAGACTCACTCTCATTTCATCAGTCCATAAAACCTTAGAAAAACCAGTCTTGAGATATTTCTGGGCCCAGTCTTGATGTTTCAGCTTGTGTGTCTTGTTCAGTGGTGGTCGTCTTTCAGCCTTTCTTACCTTGGCCATGTCTCTGAGTATTGCACACCTTGTGCTTTTGGGCACTCCAGTGATGTTGCAGCTCTGAAATATGGCCAAACTGGTGGCAAGTGGCATCTTGGCGGCTGCACGCTTGACTTTTCTCAGTTCATGGGCAGTTATTTTGCGCCTTGGTTTTTCCACACGCTTCTTGCGACCCTGTTGACTATTTTGAATGAAACGCTTGATTGTTCGATGATCACGCTTCAGAAGCTTTGCGATTTTGAGACTGCTGCATCCCTCTGCAAGATATCTCACTATTTTTGACTTTTCTGTGCCTGTCAAGTCCTTCTTTTGACCCATTTTGCCAAAGGAAAGGACGTTGCCTAATAATTATGCACACCTGATATAGGTGTTGATGTCATTAGACCACACCCCTTCTCATTACAGAGATGCACATCACCTAATATGCTTAATTGGTAGTAGACTTTCGGGCCTATACAGCTTGGAGTAAGACAACATGCATGAAGAGGATGATGTGGACAAAATACTCATTTGCCTAATAATTCTGCACTCCCTGTAAAGGATAATGTTGGATCAGTGTTTCAATATTTATATCCCTTATTAGATGTACATGTGGTTTGGTTATTTGCCTTTTGGTTAAAAGTAAACTGAGAGAGAGGACTTTTTTATTAGTGATCTTAATAGTTTTTCTTTTTTTTAAATCTAATTGAATACAAACTATTTGTGTATGATTGTCAGTCCAAAGAGGGAGAGAGGAAAGAGGGGACCATGAGGAGAAAGTACAAGGTCAGGAAGAACCAGGTAAGAAAACAGACAGGGAATACTAACAGGCACAACACAAAGTGTTAAACTGGCAAAGAAAAAAACCCAACTAATTTTACTCATACAATCTGGAAGTTATGTTGTCCCATATTAAAGCTGCTATACAGAATATGCAAAGCAAACTGGGTTGTCAGCCCTGGCACTGCATTACCATATTGAACTTTAGTCACAGGAAGTCACGGTTGCCAAAAGCTTTTTGAAGTTTTTGGCAACCAGTGAGACCCAGGAACAGAGAGACTTGATGAATTTAAGAATCTTATGACTTAATAAAGAAATTTGCAGACTTGCACAGAGATGGTAAAATTATGATGACGGAGACGAAGACAACAGACGATGAGGACAGGGAGGAACAGAGGGAACTCGGGACAACTGGAGACATTTAAGGATGCAGGGACTGACAGAGACAGGGAAGAAGTCTCATCGTGACGAGTACAGTTTACCTTGCCTGGCTGGGCAGCTCTCTGGGTGCTCAGCACCCCCAAAGCTCTGGTCCTAGAATCGCCCCTGACTTTGAGTGAAAAGCTGAATTCACTCTTGCCTTGTGAATCTTACTCATTTGTTTTTCAATTACCACGTAGAATGTCTTCAGTTTTCTATTTTTTATTAAAACGATATGAATTCTCAAACTACTTCAGTAAATTTTACATTTATTTAAAATTTTATTTTCTTCCTCAGTCATATACTGCAATCATAATCATAATCATACAATTGATCTCAATTTTAAATACACGTAGACATTGAGGGCTAGTAGGAGGGACTATGCGCTTACCTGCTGCTCTCTGGCAGGTAGCTCCATGCCCTCCTGGGTTTTAATTGCACCTTAGAACACACATGCATCAACACTACAATGAACGGGTGGAGGGAGGTTTGGAGTCTTCTCTCACCCCCATTCTCTGCGGCCTGCTGGAGCGGGGGGCTAGGAGGAGTTGGCCGTCCGACTGCGGTCTGGGGTGTGGGGCCTCCCTGCTGCTGCGGAGTCGGGGCGGTCTGCCTCTCCCCACCGCAGGGAAAAGGGTAACACCACCTGGGTCTGGGAGCAGTTCCCCCCTCCAGGGGCAAGGGTACCTAGACCCGGTTCGTAGAGTACGCTTGGGGAGTGTGATCGTGTATACAGCGTCTCTTTATGTCTGTCTCCACGTCGGTTGAGTGTGAAGTGCATATGAGGGTGGGAATGGATGTTTGTGTCTGTGTGTGCCTGTATGTCTGTGTCTATATGTCAAGTTGGGTATCAGACGCCACCTCTCTGGGGACATCTCGGGCCCTCCAAGGTTTGGAGGCCTATCTCCACCCACCACCACTTCCCTGCCGGTGGCGGACTCCCTCAGGTGTCGGTGCGTTGGTGGTTCTTTGTATCTGGGGTGGGCGTCCGGGTACACGCCGGCTCACTCCTTGGCGGCCGCTTATTGGGGCTCGCTCGGGCCACTTCGGAGGTGGGGTGCCCACGGCCTCTCGGCCTGGGGCTCGGTCACTCAGGCACAGCTGGCTGCCGGCGGAGCTCACGGGCGCGTCACTGCAACTCCCCCTGGTTTCTGCTCCGCGGCTGCTGAATGAGCCCTCATCTGGGACTCTCCTTAGCTCTTACTGGGACAGTGGCGCGGCTGCCCCTCTGTGGGTCTTCCTTGGTCTCTTGTGTTCTGGGGGCCTCTGGATGTCTGGAGTTTTGATCTCCTCCATACCTGCTTCATACCATAGAGGACAGGGCTGTGGCTCCCCACACTCCCTAGCAGATCATTACATGGAGAAACCTTTGGAATGCAAGCATGCTGATCCACACAGGTATGCACACAGGTGTACACATGGGTATTCACAGACACGGACTACAGCTTTCTTGGCTGCTGCCTCAAAGCACACTGTGCGCTGTCTATCTTGCGTGCTGCACAATATCGTTTATTATTTAGTAACTATCGATATCTACTGCTAGCTAGTTTATTGTGATGGTGCTTTTTTTTCTTATTATGTTGCTCTTTGTTGTTTGCTTTCTCCTCTGTTTTTTTTTCTCCATACAGGTGACCCAGGAGTTTTGTTTTTTTTGTTTGTTTTTTTTTCTCTCTTCCCCCCCTTCTCACCGTCTCTTCTCCCCTTTGGTTTTTTTCTTTCTCTCCCTCTCTTTCTTTCATTCTTTCCCCCTGTCCTATCCCACAGTCATGTCTGTCCCGTTTGTAGCAACTGAAAATAAATAAATTCCTAATTATAATAAAGGTCAATCAAATGGACCAATATGGCAAGGCCACGATGATCCACTTGGTAAAATAAATCCGCTTGGCATCTTTCTTGGCCTTAAGACAACAATTCTGATGGCTATAGATCCAAACGGGACAAAAAAAATAAAATAAAAAATAAAATAAAAGAATGTCTTCAGTTTTCTATTTTTTATTAAAACGATATGAATTCTCAAACTACTTCAGTAAATTTTACATTTATTTAAAATTTTATTTTCTTCCTCAGTCATATACTGCAATCATAATTAATACAATTGATCTATTACTACTCTAAATGATTATAATTATTATATTCAATAAAACTATGTTGTGAAATAAATAGGATCGAATACATTTAGACTCATCAGTCTAATCATATTAATCTCTCTATGCAATTTACATAGCAGGCCACATTCAACATATGCATACTAGTTAAATAATGCCACTCAGTTATGTCATAATGACACTTTTCTCCCAGTTTAAGAGATTCTAAAAGGAAGGAAAGATTTTTAAGGACTGGAAAAGAGGTTTGATCTGCTGCTGTTTCTAAAGACAGCCATAATTCAAAGACAGTTTCAGCAACAAGTGAATCTAATTATTTCTTTAAACAGAAATTTGCACTCTTGATGTTTACATTTATTTAACTGTCATAATTCAATAATATAATTTTTATTTAAACAAGGTGATAAAAATGTGTATTTCCAGACTATTGGATGTATCAATTGACTGGTTTCATTGTATTTCTATATTACGTTGACCTCACTGCTGTCATGCTTGAATATCTGAAAAGTGATGATGACTTTAACAGCATTTCTAAACCAAGGGTAAAACAGGGCATAAATTAGTGGGTTTAGACAAGAGTTAAAATAATAGACGATGACCACAATAGAGGCAGATGAATCACTGACTTTGTCTTCTACAACAAGAAAGTAACAATAAAATGGACAGAAACTGGCCAGAAACACAACTACAAGAACCCCCAGAGTCCTGGCTGCTTTCAGCTCAGATTTGTTTGTTTGATTCAGTGAACGCTGAAGTGTAGCTGTAACATGAGAGTGCATGGCACGAGCCTGAGACACAGCCACCACAAATACTCTCATATATAGAACTATGATGATGGAAACTGGTACGATAAAAGATAAAACAAGGTCAATTATGCCAGCAATATCACTGGTGATAAACACACACTCTCCATAACAGGAATTATACCTGCCTGGTTCAATCAGGATATTCTTTGTGCAAAGAGTGCTGTAGAAAGCTGAATAAAACCAACACATACAAACACTAAGACTTATTTTTGCCACAGAAATTCTACTGGGGTAATGCAGAGGATCACAAATTGCCACATAGCGATCAACTGATATGAGAACTATGTTACTTATTGAAGATGTTACAACAATGTAGCCTAGATATGTATAAAGTGAACACATGGATTCACCAAATACCCAGCAAACTGTGATTCTAAAAATCTCAGCTGGAATTAACAGGAGACCAACAAGAAAGTCTGACACAGCCAGAGAGAGGAGGAGGATGTTACTGGGTGTGTGGAGCTGCCTGCAGGGACACAGAAGAGAAAATAATAATCATTAATCTTTCATGTCTTAAGTAAGAAAATGATTCATTGATAATGAATTACACAACAGTTTGTTTAAAATACATGGAGAATATGTCAGATTCACTTCATTCGAACATCAACAAATCATATGACATGAATCATACTCTCAAAGTTTATAAAATTTAAGCTAAAGTTTAAGTCAATCTCTGCCTGAAATGGGAGACTGAGATGATAACAAGAAGATTGAGACCAGCAGTGATCAAAGAGATGCACGACAGCACAATGTTCAGGAGCACGGCTTTGGACCAGTGAAGTGTCGGCTTGATGCAGGAATTGTTGAAGAGATGTGGAAAGCAGAGCTCGGCTCCTTTCTCCATCACCAAACAGCTACGCCTCCCACCGCTCTTTGACCAAGACTTCTCATAGAACTAATTTATCTCTTTCTGCTTTCCCTCCTCCTCATTACCTCTTTCCTTTTCTATTAAATGATGTCCTCTTTCGCTCTACACAATCTGCCACACTTCAGCTGTTTCACACTTGCTGTGTCATAGACAGTTGATTCATATTTTTACAGTTGTTTGGGACTCGTGATATATATTATTATGTTTTACACTTGAAACTATCTGCGTTATACCTTTGTGTAACATAGATACACAAAGGTTTCATGGCATGGGTTTCCATAGCCTAGAAGATTCAGTAGGCATAATGTGAAGGTGACCAGACACCCTGAGTACACCCTTCCCTTTGAAGCTGCAACTATGCAGTCATATGTGCCCACTCAGCATTCAGCAAACCTGAGCTTTATCTGAGTTTAGAAGTAAGAAATCAGAGGTTAACAGGTCTTGATG